AGTTATAGTATTATAAAGTTAAAAATATAAAAAAGAATATTTTTAAAAAAATCGTATTTTTTTTATTAACTTTGATATTTGTTTTCACCATGAAGATAAAATAAAATCCGAAATTTTTTTTTTTCATGATAAAGTATATTTTATTAGTTATAATTTAATACATATATAAAAGTGTCATACTTTTCGAACACTTTCAAAAGTGAGCTTGAAAAAAATAATTTTTTGTGAAAACGTCATTTTGAATCCTCCCTTTGAGCAAGTAAAAGGTTACATTTATAAAATCATTATACCAAATGATAGGTAAAGTTATTGTGCATTTACTAAATAAAATATACTAAATAAAACTTGTTAGAAATAATAAAAAAATTTAATTCCAATTGATATTGAAATTTTAGTATTCAACTTGATACCATTTAAAATATTTGCATCTTAATTAGTTTGAGCGCGACTTTGCACAACAGTAATACGGTCTATCCTTATTACTCCCTGAACTAGTTGAATGTACTTGGCGCCACGCTAAAGTGGCATTGCCCAATTACAGGCAAAAAAAAGAATTCTATGGTGGCTACTTGACCAAGTACACGTTTTTAAAAAAATTTCGACAACACAATGTTGATCCCACTGTAGAATTTTTTAAAAATGCCGGCGAACTGTACAATCCAAACAATCCGTAAATAGACTTTGATGAAGTTGAACTGGAGGTAGTAGAAGAGGAGGACGAAAACAATATAACTGATGATGAGACTAATACTAATTATCAGAATTTTTTTTAATAAACTTTTAATAATTATAATAGTCTTATGTATAAGTCCAACATTTTTTAAACAAACGCGCACGAAACGTTATAAACTTGACGGCAGCGCCTGTGACGCATTACTATAAACTGTTAAACAATTTTGAACAGTTTAATTTTGAAAATTTTGAACCCAACCGATCTCATTTTGAATCAAAATGAGATCGGTCCCGGCGGCCGTAAATACACTACAGGCAGGGCAACTAAGAAAAACCGGTCGCCACAAATCATACACAATTGAATCACCATACCTCACTCCTCAAGGCGTATAGTAATTCCCATTATACCTTATTTATTTATAAAATATTGTATATACATACACACTATGTTTTGTTATAAAGATAACAGATTACGACGCTTGCTAGTTTTATGAAACGACCACCCGTTGAAACCTTCTGCTTGAAACTTACCATCTTTTTACCGCTGTATCAATGTTTCACTAATATTATATTATATTTATAAAAATGCTTCTCAAGTTGGTAAAAAATTTAAAACTAGAAAAACGAAATAACTAAAGAAAAGTTATCGATTTTAACACGCTTATATTAGTTTCACCTGTATGTATGTATGTTTGTAACTCTCCAAACGCCACGCGTTATCGCGTATCCCGTCGTCTATGGCCTTGAGACTAGACTGTCATAACGCATTCACCCCTCCCCACACGACGGCACACTATTCCTATAAAAATTTATTTTTAGTTATCGTACCCGTACACGCGTGCTTGTCATCAATATTATATATATATACACAAATTTTTATTTTGACTGACCAATAACGCCCGCGTCTAATGCGCCTTACGTATATATATTCATATATTCCTACCGCCGTTTATACCTCAGGTATAACGTTAGTCCGACTCGCCCGCCCACAAACACGGCTATACCTAGTGCATGATGCGTTTACGTACTTAAGTTGCTTTACTTGTATATATATATATATATATATATTCTAATTACTATTAAAATTTATATATCAAAACGCTTATTCTAATTAAGAGATATAAAGTATTCATTCCGATTACGAGGGATGATTTCCGTATCGTCATTTTTCGTCACTACCTCCACGTTCCAGGAGTGAGTAATTAACGCGACTGCTGCTTTCCTTGAATGTAGCATGGTAGCCGTTTCTCAGACTCCCTCCCCGGAATCGAACCCTGATTTCCCGTTACCCGTAACAACCATGATATTAATAGTAACTACTATCATAACATGAAACTAAAAAGTAAAAAATATAGTTTAAAAAACTAAAAAAACACGCTTTTAAATCACATCGAACTAAAAAGTTAAAAATAATTTTTAAAATAATTATTTATAACCTATATTATTTTACTACAATCGCAACTTTAAAGCACTATAACTTTTGAACCACACGCTTCCGCTCAAAATATTTTACATATTCTTAATCTGCATAAAAAAACAAACGTTTGAAAAACAAAATTTTGAAAAAAAAAGGGTGTCCCGTAAAATAGATTTATACCTTTAATTTATTTAAGCAAACCATAAAACATTAAATTAATAATAAAATAAATAAGTATTGCCCATTTAAATTTCGTATTTTACTGTAATTTTGACTATATTATTAAAATACAGATTTTATATACACAGTATTACGACGAAAAATACTATCAATAATTTTTTCTTAAAAGAACTGAGAAAAATTTTAACTACAAGATATTATTGAAATACAATAACAATCATCAAAAAATTATTGTTAGAAAAACTACTACTTGTATTAATCAAATTGAACAGAATAATTTGATGAAATTCATTGACCCTATGGACATCGAATTTATCCTTAAAAATTTATAAATGACAAATTCTGAATCATTAAATTATTTTAATGTGTAACGTTTACTTACATTCGTTGATTAATTTTAAGTAAAAAAAAAAATTTCAAAGAATAAATATCACGGGAAAACCTAACAAGTATTGAGACCGTATTTATAATTAAATATTATGAAGAAGCTGTATTCAAGCTATTATATTATAAATAAAATACTTCAAATTATTTAAGTGAGAATATAAAAGTAAAATTAAAAATACAAGAGTTCAAATATGTTATTGTACTTCACACATTATATATGAGTTTTAAAAATATACTACTGAAAACAACTATTTTTTTTACTAACACTAACTCAATATCGGAGACATTAATAAAAGAAATTATTAAAATTAAATATCAAATATTGTAAGCACACGTTTGGAAAAAAACATTTATATTTTTAAAGTAGTCATAAATAATCATATTAGATAAATTTATTATTAACAGCAATAATGTACTTACTCAAAGCAGATGAGATTTCTGTGATTCTAGAAGATACTTCGAAGAGGTTAACAATCTGTTACTTGGAAGAAATAGAAACAGTTAATGCTATATTTTGTTTTAAACAAGGTGGATTCATTTGATTGTTAATTCTCCAATTTTCCACTGAGACCAATTCTTATTATAACGGTAGGTTATTTCCCAATGAAACCAATACTCACATCAAACGCCTTTAGTAGAATATTACTCAGTATTAACTAAATATATATATATATACAACAAAACACTGAAACACTATGACCCGGTTGGGTGGGGTTGGGTTTATACATTTTAAAGTTGATAAGTGGAATAACACTGTCAGTCAATAATGCAACCGCCACAAATAGAATGAACTATTATAACTTAAATACTGTTATATAATATTTTATTATTTCCATGTGTACTCATATGCGATAATTAATTTGTTTTTTTATTTAATTTGTGGTAAATTAGTACAAATGTTATATTTGCTTAACTATACTTACTACATAATTATCGGTTAAGAATAAGACACTCGCTTTCTTGAAATCTTAATTTCCAAGATTCTTAAAAAAAAGTAATTTTTAATTTTAGTAAAAGAAATAATATTATTCTAATGCTTATTTAATTTAATAAATTTTTCTTTTACAAAAAAACCCTAAAAGTTGAAATAGTATATAGCAATATTATTTAAAAAAAATTTATATTAAAGAGTTGACCCCCTTTTAATATTTTATATGAAAGCTAAGATGGAGTAAGATGACAAATTCAGTATTTATTAAAATCAATCAGTTATAACAGCACATCCTGCCTGCTAACATAAAAGCGTCATACGATACCCTTCGTTTCTCGACCTTATGTTGAAAGTATTAAATATTAAACCCTACTTACAAATTTTGTAGGTTTTATTCTTTACTATTAAAAGTCGTCTCTATAAATTTATGGGAGCTTATTGTCTCTCAGAGCAACCCCAAAAAACGATTCTGTTTATAGAGTATATCTGACTGAGGGTTTTAAGGAAACTTGCTACGTGGCACACATTTTTGTGATTCACGAATGGCATTCGAAAAAAAAAAATTCAACCTCTAAACGTTTTAATATCTTTGCAAATCATTGTTGCAACTAAAGGGACTAAGTCACCTTCAAATCGAATTGTACATTATGTAAAGTGTTGCATAAAACATTTTTTAAAAGGAATTGAATTACTGCTATTAATAGACCGTCTAGTTGAGTTATTTTTTTATTTCTTATTTATTGCACATCAAAACTGTAAATAAATTGTATTAATAAATTATATGCTGTTCATTATATCATCGGATTAAACAATATTTGTTACACATTATTCAAGCACCATTTTTTCTACATTATAGTTTTTTTTTATCCTATTTTTTATTGAAATTGTTATAATTCATGGATGTTTTTAATTTTCTTCTTACTTTTTATTTAAGATTAAGTATATAATTGCCCCCTATAATTTTTAATAATTTAATTTTTATGCACTGCAATAACTTTTCAATTTAAATTTAAAAATAAAAATTATTTTTTTTTAAATTTGTGAACTTAATAAATGTATAAAATTGTTAAATAAAAATGGCGTGAATACATATGTTTAGCATTATACTAAACTTATGTTTAATATGTTATTTAATTAGATTTTCACAGTTAATTTTTCATTGACCACTAAATTTCTTCTAAAGTAACAATAATTTTGAGACTCATTTTTTTGGCTTTATTAAGTACTATTGATCTCTCAAATTATAAGTGGTTAAATACTTTTAAGTTTTTCATTTATATATATGGCATCTATAAAAAAAAAATGATATTGATTTGGTTATTTTTAAAGTAGTTATGGTAGTTTTAAGTTTTAAGGTTTCCTCCATTAACAAGGAATAAATAAACCATAAATCTGACAAAAAAAATGCTATTGCAAAACATTTATCCGAACTATTAATTAAGATGATGCCATACAGAAAATAAAACGATTTTAAACATGTTTAGGAAAGGAAAACTTTATTTGATCTGTATTGATGCTAGTGACCCAAAATTTTTACCAAATAATAAAGGAGACAATTGTCTATGAAAAATCGAAAATTTTGGTGACAATACAATTTGATAAAAGTTTTCCCACACGAAACAGTTATGCAAAATAATTTATTTTTGTCTATACACATGTGTCCATTGTAGTGGCATTTCTAACATGACAAATTTCCTGTTAAGCAGCGGTAACTGATTACCCTCACCTTTCAACTGCTCCCTCGACGACAATCAACACTAGTTATTTTATACTTGTTAGTTATCGAAGCACCGTGATATCATTTAGTAGCAATCGCTTATCTGAATTTATAAAAACATTGTTATTATTGACGGGTGATAGGGCTTAAATTTGAATTTTTTTGTATTCATTTTTACCAAAGAGTTACACTATGATTTTTAAGAGGCTTACAAACTAGGCGTTTAATCGCGCGCGTACGCGTTTTGAACGCGAACGCCGTTCATGTTAGAGATGGGAATTATGGTTCACCTAAGTGATCCGATTCATTCGAATCAGGTCAACTAGAAGATCCGGCTCAAAGACCCGTTTGCGATCTAAAAGATATTTTGAGTCAATTGAATGGAACATTCAGTATAGTTTTGATTCTTTTGCGGTTCTCGATTCGCGATTCGGATTAGGGATGTGTCGTATAAACAAATGACATATGAATATGTTATCATGTTATCATTGATATTTGGTAAGCGATCAAATCGGTTCAGTGTGATTTATACGGGAAAAAATTAGTTTTTGGGGGATCCGGATCACTACGGTTCGGCGATCTGAATCATTTGGTTCACTATTTTGACCCGTTCAATGCGATCCGTTCGTTCGCGAACGACACATCTCTAGTTCATGTGCATACTACAAGCGTTTTGACGCGTTTTTACAAAGAAAATTAGCCCGCCAAAAGCTACAGTATAATCATAACAGATTCCAAATTCCTCGTGGTAGCATTTGCTCTGGTAATTTTTTTATTTTTTAAAGTATAAAATAAGTTAAAGTAAGTATGGATACATTAGATGATGTAGAAGTTGCATGCGTTGTATACGCCATGTATCTTCGTTGTATAAAAAAACAAGTATTCGTAGACATTGGGTTCACCCCCTAAATTTAAAAAGACCTCGAGAAGGCCAATTTCAAGTTAATTTTAGCTTTCATGCGAAGCTAAGAAGGTATTGGTTTTACTATGAGGTGTTTTTCTTTTTTTTTTGTGTCTGTTACTACTTTTTCTCAGCTCTCACCGAATGGATTTCTTTCAACGATACGTCAAAAGATCACAAATCGTATCTAGTCGAAGACATTATCCTCAAAAATTGAAAAAAATTCCTTTGTTCCCTGTAAATGGAGAAAACCTCCAAAAAAATTACAAAATTTAAAAATTGCTAATTTTTGAAATTTTTTTTACTAAAAGCTGCCATAACTTTTTCAAAAATGAACATATCAATATAACATTTTTTTTTATATTTTTTATATTTTATATTTTATTGATATTTTTGCCTATCATTTGGTATATTTTTTTCATAAATTTAACCCTTTACCAGCCCACAGAGGGGGATTTAAAATGACAACTTTTTCACAAAAAACTATTGCTTTTAGTTTTTTTGGCTGTTATACTTTTATTCTAAATAGGTGATTTTTAAATAATTATAGCTGTCATATGACAGAGTATAAAAATTTGGATGGAATTATCAATGTAGGAAGTGTTTTAAATAGTAATAAAAGTGATGATAGTGTAAATGTGCAAACTAATTCTAATAAATTTTCTTCATACTCATCTCTAACTGAATCAAATTTCAAGTATGGAACATATAAACTAATAGAATGGACTTTGCAGATAATATACTAATAAAATTTTATTCTTTAAGTATGACAAATTATAAAATAATATGTATTACTTTTAGTCTATTATGAGCTTGATGTATTCAACTAATGATGGTCGTTTTATTTTGACTGATGCAAAAGTAAACCATGAACATTTATCTAATGATGCTCAAAATACACTTACGAGACTTAATAAATTATTTATTTAAAGACAAAGCTCGGTAATATACACTATGTTATTTTAAATATTTATTATAAATTAAATATGTATGGGTGTAAGTTAAAATTGTTAACATGCATGAAAACTTATAGTTCTTATATAAAATAATCATAGACCTTTAATTTTATACTAATTTAATATTTCTATTTATTAAACTTATGTTATATTAAATATTTGTTTTAGANATTTCTATTTATTAAACTTATGTTATATTAAATATTTGTTTTAGAGGAACTGAAATTTGAATTTAATACTATTAATAATATATAATAATAAAAAAAAACAGGATTATACATGCTTTTGAACATAAAAATTAAAAATGAGTTTTAATATTACTATTTTTATTTTATAGAAAGTATATTTTATACTATCAAATCAAAATAATTCCATGTAAAGAAAAATTAGTGAAACATTGACAAAACTGTGTACGCCAGTTTTGGAGCATAGGTGCTATTGAAAGTAAACGAAAAAATAAAAACTCTGAAACATTACCAATTTTAACATTCTCTGGTAGTAATATTATCAAATATTTATGTTTTATATTCATGCTAATACATCCAATTCATTTATTTATTTAATATAAATATTAAAATAGATGAAGCTGAATCAGTAAAGTTTGGTTAAGCACAACTGGGTTTCTTCTAACTTTGATGAGATTAAAAAACACTGGAAATAAGAATGGCTGAAATTCGAGGTTTAATAGTTTAAATTATAAATAGTTTAAATTATAAATAGTTTAAATGATATAAAACAGTTAATATCCGAACAGGGCGTACTATTCTTATATTCAAGGAAAAGGGGGACGAACAAAATTTATGCAACTGGAGGCCAATAACGATTTTCAGCGTAATTCGTAGAATCATAGAAAGAAGTCTAGACCAGGCTTTGAGAGCACGAGTAAAATGTAGTCAAGTGCAGAGAGGATTTATTTGTGGAATGCCAGGAGCACATATAAACGCATCACTCGTTGAGGGCTGCTTAAGAGTGGCTAGAGAAAAGAAGGACAATTGTTGTATAGTAATGTTAGACTTAGCCAAAGCTTTCGATACAGTAGGGCACGACCACATCCGTCGCACGTTGCAATCTTTATCACTACCGAATAATCTANAATTGGCTAAACTTTATTAAAGTGGACTTTGTTTTCAAATAACTTATTGAGCTTACATAGAAATTTAGTGAAAGAAAATTATGCTAATGACTTATTAAAACAACTTGATACTATACAACTGAATGTAAGTTATTATTGTATAATTATTAATTATCTATCCTGTGAATTGTATGCACCTTTATTTTAAAAGATAATATTGTAATTTAACCAGAGACATAATTATAAGTCCTGGGATTAAACTAGTCTTTATAAAAAAAATTTTATGTCATTTTATTAACTTATTATAAATAATCCTCAGACTTAGTGTATTTGAAATACTCATATATAAATGATAAATATAGTTCACAGCTCTGCTAAGTATTAATCCATTAATTTCAATTATATTTTCATTTATATTTTGTTTAATCTATATGTTCATTAGTATATTTCCTTACAAAAATTAATTCATAAAATATGTTATTTTACAGGGTATAATTTAATTAAGAAAATTACTTTGTTTAATGATTAATAATAACTTTTAGATTTTGAACTAAAAGAAATTAATATTTTTATTTTTTGTTTAATTAAGTAGTGCATGATAAGTGAGTCACTGTAGTTCATCTATTTTAACATGTAAAATTTAAATGTATGAATCTCCAAAATCTATTTTAAATTATTAGTTGTATATTTTAGTTGTTATTACTATTTTAATTTTTGATACATATCATATTTAAATTAATTTTTATTTAGATACTAGAACAAGCAACGCATTGAAACTTCTACTGATTTCATATCTAGTACTAAGTAAATCTCAAATGAAAACAAACAAAAAGTCTGGGAAATCATCGCTAATTGAATGTGTTTCATCTTTTGTTATAAATATTTCAGTAGGTTATTATTATAAATATATGAATAGATGCATACCTTTAATTTCATAATTCATTAAGTATTTTAGTTTTATATGAACTTAAACTTGTGTCACATTTATATGTTGTATTGAAATTATATAAATTATATATTTTATATAAAATTATATAATTTATATAAATATTCATTTTCAAAATTTAAATGATTCAGAATTCAAAATAATTTACCTGACTTAACTCCAACTATTAAAAGAGTTTTGGGTACTGGTAAAATTTACGAGACTCTTAAATATATTTTATAACTGTTATATAGTTGTATATTTAAAAATGTATATCCAAAGGCGTAAAGCATTTGAGTAAATGTATTTGAATAAAAGTATTCAAATACTTTCATTGGTATTGAATAGTATTTTTAAATACATTTAATAAAAAGTATCTGAGTAGTATTTTAAATACAATTATTTAGTATTTAATACTGTTTAATATTCAGTACTATTAAAATACTTTTTTTTCTAATTTGCTAACTGTAACACAGCAAGCAAATTAAACTCAGTCAAAATGAATATTGAGAATAATTCTCTGTTATTTTATATGTTACATTATAGTATAACATAATTATTGTGCTTATATAAATGCTATTATGTATACATCTATTTTTAATACATCAGTTGAACCTACAATAGCCTATTGCAGGTTCAAATAATTTACTCAATTGTCAATAAGACATACTTTACAGGTTTTTACACATGTACTAATATTTATTTTTTTCACTGATTAGTCTCCAATAATTAATTTAATTTACCTCTAACAAAATATATCGAAAATAATAAATGAGTTCTCTTAATTTAAGAGTACTCAATATTTGACTCAAATTACCCTCTTGGTAATTATTTAGGTGGAACCTTTTGCTCTTAGTTAAAATAAAAACATTATTATTATTTTTTAATTGTATTCTTAGTATTTGAAATACTTTTGTAAAGTAATTGAGTATTACTCAAATACTTTTGTATGAAAAGTATTCAAATAGTATTTTAAATACATTTTTTTTTAAATATTTGAATATTATTTAAAATACTTTTTAAAANTTTGGCTTTGACACCATTCAGAATTAAACAAAATAAGTATTTGTTAAGTGTTGATAATGGTAACATTTTCCGAATACATATTCGCAATTTTTTAATAATTTTTTTGTGGCTTTTGGAGTTAAATATTTTTAATATAGTTTTAATTTTAAATAATATTTTCCATAAGTGATCAATTTTTATTATTAATATTTAGTGTAAGGTATCCACTTAACACCTACTAAGAATGGAGAAAAATATATATTTCTACACAATATGATGCTATAAACTGAGTATTCAAAATCGTAAGTGAAATTACTCACCGAGTCAACAATATATTATGATATAATATACAATGCATAGATAATATTGTCTATGTATGATCATAGACAAGTTTTTTAATAAAAATCATTTAAATAATGAGTATTTGAGTAAAAATGTATACTATATTTTTTTAATTTAAATAAAATGTATTGCTTTAAATGTACTTGAAACTTGTATCACTACTTAATCATATTACTAAAGTTATATTTTTTTATTGTTTTTTATTATTACAATAATCAAATAAATAAAACATAATAAATATGGCTTTGAACATTTAAAAAAAATAATTACTTGTGTGTGTATATATATAATATTATCAATATTCAATTTAAATAAGTTATTGAAATAATGAAAAAAGATAATATGTTAGGTAGGTCGTGGGATCCGTTTCCTGTAGTATTTCTGAGGTGTACTTAGTTTCTGAAGGATTCAAAAATGAACAAAATCCCTGGGAAGAAATTTTGCACTCTTCTAGTGATAGCGTACTACTTAAGGGACTTAAAACTAAAATTGCCACCGCAAATTCGGTGACTCTACGACCAATAGCCACCGAGTAATAAGCTATCCAAATTTTGGGGTAACGTGCCTGAGTACCACTAGTCAGTTGCTACCGGTCCAATCCGGTTTACATGGTTAATGAGTGCACTCCTTTTTTATTAATTTACTATATGTTTAGAAATGGTATAATTTATTCATTCGTCAACTAAACTTTTTATCGATATTAAAATAATTTGTACTTAATAAATTAATTTACGGATATCGCACTTCTATCTTGAAAAATAGTATTATTTTGTATTTAAAATATTCAAAATACTACTGTATAGCCTAATAAAGTTCGTTTTAAAATATACGATTACAACTATTATAAGAATAAATTAAAGTAATTAATATGTTGTATTCTTAAAACAAAAATTACCCTAATTAACCATTCTAAAACTTTGATTTATTGTTAAACAAAATATCTTATACACAATAAATAATAATACAAAATAATAAAGTATCTTGTTATTCGCATCCATACGTATCGATACTCATATGTACCATTTAAATTGCTCGAATAGTTTATTTTAAAAGTGTCAATTTTTTTTTAAATAACAATATATAACATTGACTCAAGTTGTTTTAATTTAATTTCTAAAATTATTAAATAGCTATCCAAGAGAATACAGAATATTTTGAGTATTTTATACTTTGTTCATTAAAAATATACAAAATTTGCAAAAACTGGGTTTGCTAATTTATGATACGATGTTAAGTATATACATTAATAATTAATAATTATACCACATTGTTATTATCTATACATATAAATAAGAGCATTAGTATGCTTGAAAATATAGTTATTTCAATAGAATCAATTGTTAAAATGAAAGAATAACAATGAATATTATAATTATGATAACATTTAATTATAATAATTAAATTAAGTACAAATTAAAGTTAAATAATTTGTGACATCATTATATAAATAATTAATTTTTTTATCATTATACTGGATTTTAAGGACTTGTGCAATGAAGGATTAGGCTAAAATAATTATAATTTTTCGAAAAGGCGTTAATAATAAATTTATATATCAAGTCTGGCGTCGAAACGTCCTCGGCGAAATGTCCCCGGGTCCGCGATTTTATTGGAGTTATTAATTTATTGTGTAATATATAATTAGACAAAAGTTCATTAAAAAAAAAATTAGTAAAATATAATATCTTATAAATATATCTTGTAACTCTGTAGATAGTGTTCAATTCTAAGAAATTAATGGATAATTACAAAAGCAATATCAACTTCTATTTCCGTAATTATACCCAGCTTAGTAATTCTTTTTATTATATATTATATAATTTTTAAAATTAATTGTTTTCAAATTATTATTGATTTTGATTTTTAATATGTTAAAAGTAATCATTTTGAACCTACTTTTTTTTGTGCTGTAAAGTGAAATTTTTAATAAAAAAAAAATGAATTTATTACCATAACTTTTAGCTCAACTTGCAAGTTTGAAATTGACATTATTAAATAGAAAAAAATGAAAATGTTAAGATTAATATGCAATCAGGAAATTTTATAATTACTATTTACAGTACATTTATCAGAAAAGTTCGATTTTTTTAAACATTTTTATCGTAATAGATCACTTAAATAAAAATCATTTCTAATTAACTTTTGGTGTTTAAAAAGATTCTACAAGGGAAATATTCAGAATTTAATTAATTTTAATGATTGTATATCAAAAAAAACCAATAAAAAATAAGTTGTTAAAAAGATTTACTCAATTGAGTGTATTATAAAATTTGATTATAATTGTAAAAATCCATCGTTAAATTCAGGTGAAACTAAAAATCATTTTTTTTTAAATTTATGATTTATATAGCAACATGTTACAAAAATTTTTTGAATATTATAAACTGGTAGTAGCACACAAAAATAGAGTTAAAAAATTAATAAATTACTAAGTAAAATTATTTTCTTTTGTAGTTGAATACTTTTATCATATCAAATTTATTTCGACAATAAATACTTGAAGAATATTAGAAATTAATGATTTTAATTGTTTGTATGGAAAAAGCTGGTTAGGCTTTTTCGATTTTTAAGAGTAATAACTTAAACTAAATACGAAATCATGACGCGTCTATTAGTATTTACAGTGAGGTTGGTGCCAAACTAGATTTTATACTACATAAAATAAGCGTGCGTCGTTATCAATATAATTGTATTTCATCAAAAAGTAAGGCAGGTACACAACCGGTTTTGTTATCGACTATAACACTACGAAAATACTCCCAATAATGGACACTCACGTTAATAATCATTTATTTCTCACACAACGACACTGCGTAACATGAAATACCGAAAAATTGCCTATATTAGACCCCTGAAAAAAGGTCGGTACCAAGACGCCTGAAGACATCATAATAGATATACATAGTTAAAGTATTTACAAAAATAAATATAAAATAATATCAACCAAATGTCATTGGCGATGTTAAATTTATTACTTGATTTAAAACACGTGCACTTTGATTATACTGTGTTTGTTACTGTCATATCGCGTTATTTTTAGATAACGTGTGCATATATTTTCTTAGAATTTTACTATTGTGTTAATATGAATAATTCATTTTAACACTAAAATTAGTTTGTCTAATTCAATTTTTAAGATGAATTTAAGAAAAAAATGTTCTTTTGAGTATTGTATTTTCCGGTCACTCTAAAAATATAGCAAAATGAGCATTAAAGCTGGGGGGATTAAGTTCCCTCTAACAGTTTCCTTAATGTTTCTATAACGTTGACACGGTCTTGCCTAGTTGTGTTACGATGAACACCCGCGACCCACTTACCGTTGTCAGCAATACTACATGGACGGACTCGGACACTTCGCCACCACCGTTTCATCACTAACACATCGTCACCACACTATTGATATATAAATTTATTATTTACCCTTTTTCGAAAANGTAACAGTTTCCTTAATGTTTCTATAACGTTGACACGGTCTTGCCTAGTTGTGTTACGATGAACACCCGCGACCCACCTTACCGTTGTCAGCAATACTACATGGACGGACTCGGTCACTTCGCCACCACCGTTTCATCACTAACACATCGTCACCACACTATTGATATATAAATTTATTATTTACCCTTTTTCGAAAAATTATAATTATTTTAGCCTAATCCTTTATTAACAAGCCTTTAAAATCCAGTATAGTGATACAAAATTAATTATTTATTTAAGGTCACAAATTATTTTAATTTAATTTGTACTTAATTTAATCATCATAATTAAATGTTATCATGATTATAATATTCATTTTTATTCTTTTCTTTCAACAATTAATACTATTAAAATATTGCCAATTTTTAAGATGGATTTAAAAAAAAAATGTTCTTTGAGTATTGTATTTTATTTAAGAAATCAATTGTTATTTTTAATATTTACCATTAAAATGATTGAAATTTTTATTTATGTTAAAAATTTTTTTTTTAATATTTCACGCGTCAACAAGTATGTAACAAATTTAGTGTAAAAAATATAATTGAAGGTTATAAAATAAATAGGATAATGTTTATCATTTCACGACAATTTTATTGACATTTGACAAAATTTAAAACGATATAGCACATACTAAGTTGAAACTGAAAGTTATTGGGTTAACCTATAGCTGTTAAAGTTGGTAATTTGTATTTTTCCGTAATAAACCGTTTACCAACCAATCTAGTATTTAATATATTATCTATAATGAATTAAGATAGTGCTAACATGTACCTATTCACATTTATTTCATTTATGTTTTAACGATTTGAAAACAATGATTGTAAGATTATATTATTACTGCATAAAGTTTATTGTTTATTTATAAAAAATATAACAGTATCTAATAATACACTTATCAATTATATGACTATGAAATTTAATTTATGTAAGAACTTATAAGTGTCAGTAAAAATATTCGAGTAATAGTTTCGAAGTTGGAAGGAGCAAGGCCGTATCTGGGAGGATTAGGAGTATAAGTTGCATTATGTAATAATTAGAAAATACATATTTTTAACACAGTTAAAACATCAAAATATTTGTATTCCGTCCCCCAAAACTATGTTATAGTTAAGGCCTTTGAAAATTAGTGTGGGGGTGAAATTCCCCACGTTTCCTCATTTAGGTTTTTAACTTATACATTGATCAAATTACGACTATATCACTGTTGATAATGTATAAAGTTAAAAGTTCAACAGAATAATTGTGAAATATTGTATGTAGAAAATATAAAGTGCATTGGGGGGTGTGGGGGCGGAGCCCCCACGTTATTTTTATTCATAATATAGGCGTATACCCATAAACATTTTTAGAACTACACCACTGGTTGTGAGTGATATTAAATATTGGTCACTAAAATAAATTTAAAATTTAATTACTATTAATATCTTCTGTAAACGACATTTATTTTCTTTAAAAAGAGAGTATTAGCCAACATAAAAAATAAATATTTTTTACTGAACACCCTGTATATATGAGTATCATGTTTAGGTTTTTTCTCTTTGTTCTTGTTGCTTCACTTTTTTATTGTAAATTTTTTATCATTGTAAGTTGAAATTTATTATTTTATAAATATTAAAAGTTTTATTTTAAATCTTCTTCTTCTCCCTAGCCTTAATCCCGACTACACTGGGTCGGCCATCCTTATCCTAGACTTCCACTTGACACGATCTCCCACATGATCTACACTCACATTAGCTGTCCTCATATCGCAATCGGAAACATTTTATTTTAAATATATTGAATTAAATTTGAACTCACTCCAAACACAGCTATGCTTGTTGGAGACATATCAAATATTTATACTTTTTATTGTTTAAATTATTTTATTAATTTTTCTATTATTTGATGAAATATAATAATTATTACTATTATAGAAATAATAATTACAGTTTTTGAAAGTTTCAGAGAAACTAATAATTTTTATAACTTCCTATTTAATTTTTAGAAAAGTACAATTATTAATTTTGATAAATGAAAATGTTTTTCAATACATTTTTATAAAATAATTTAATTTACAGTTATCGTAAAATAAGGACTTAGTCTAAATTATTTATATGATATGTAATATTAGAGATAAAAGTAGAGTTATTAGGAGATAATATATAACGAAACGCAAAAATTTGAAGAAGCATGGCTGTGTAAACTATAAGAGAGCCGCAACCCTGTAAACATAAATTATCTTAAGTATATGTAATTAATATAATATCATGCATATCTTATACTATCAAGTGTAAGAATCAAAACAATTAGTTACGTAAGGTTTCGATTTAAACAAAAAACTATACACAAGAAATCTTGAACAAGACATTTATACGACCAACTTTACGTTTTAAATGGGGTCTCTGTTTTTTTTTTGAGGGATATCGGTTTTAAAACCACTTTTAGGGACAGGAAACGAAATATTTCCTGTCTCTTTCACTACTGTTTTAATTTAAAATATCCGAAATTCTTACAATATAAAACATTTCAAGATTTAAACGTAATACGCCAAACAGATAGAACTTTGCTGGGAGTAGATCCAGTTGGTGTTGGAATAGGACAATCTAAACACAGAAAACAATGAGTTAATTTTTTAAGTATAGAAAACTATGGTTTTAATATATTACTTCGCATTTCAATCTTCGATACATGAAAGGATGCAACACAATTCCTACACGATTCAATGATATACGTATAGAAGATATCTAAATAAAACATATTTACAGGTTAAAGAAAATTATTTTGTTATTTAAACTATTATTTATGAGAAAAATTTAAAGTAGGGTATTTTTGATAAAACGACATAATTTACAAATATAAACATAAACGTACACAAGATTAATGTAAGAAGCAGAAAAAATTTGTACTTGCCATTAATCCTACCTATACGGTTTATATTTTTGGAAATATTCGAAAAACTTACAAGGCATTTACCTTTAAAGTTCATTATTTAAACTCTTAGTGGAAATTTTATTTATTAAAGTATGATAGTACTCTCGTAAATCCTGAAAAAGTGTTTACTCTATTAAGTACTAGTATAATTAAATTATATTTAAACTGCCTGAGGAAGCAAAAGCACCTTTTGCTTAAAAATATAGTCACAATTAACTTTTGGCAGCTTAAATGGTTTAATCTAGTCGCATTAAAATTTTTTAACTTTAGTTAGCTGGCGCTAATTAAAAGGGGTGGTTTAATAATGTATTTATATACATAATAATATATTTATTTATACAATATATATATAGTCAATGGAGGGGGTACCCCTATCATTCTTGAATTCTTAACTGATATTGTACAACAAATTTTTGATATATCTAGAATTGAAGGTTATAAGAGTAAGATGGTTTCTTCAGTTAGGGATATAGGAATTTTTATTTATTCAGATCTCTTTTTTACTAATCACATTTTTTATACTCATAATAAAGAAATGTTAGGATTCATTAAGCGGCACTTTTGGGACTTTAATATCTAGAAATGTTTCAAAATCTCATATTGCTCCTTAGTACGATTAGGACTTNAGGATTCATTAAGCGGCACTTTTGGGACTTTAATATCTAGAAATGTTTCAAAATCTCATATTGCTCCTTAGTACGATTAGGACTTGAATATGATTCTATTATTTGGCATCCTGTCAGTTCGGTCTCATTAATAAAAAAGTCAAAGTGCAATCAGTTTTTTTGTACGTAGCTTTTAAGGTTAGGTCTGAATACTCTTTTGAATTATTATCATCGACATTGAACCTTCCCGAAATAAATCGTAAACAATCACAATGTGATGTTATTGAAAACGTATTTTATTTACAAAAATATAGGGTATAATCGATTTCTAGGAACCTTTGTCATGAATATGGTTTGAAAAAAACTCAAAAGTAAAAGCAAACAAATCAAAATTGTCAAGGTATCTATTAACCACTAATTTTCATCGATAAATGGTTAAGTAAGTATAACACTCTTTTTAAACATTCTTTTTAATACAATTGTATACTTTAATGTTTCTTCATAAAATGTTTGAAATACTTGCAAATTTTGAATAATTTTCAATTTTAGTTTTATATTATTATGAGATTTTTATGGATGTTTATGGATTTTCCCAGCTATAAAAAGTACAAAGTAAACAATGTTATTAGACTATTATCCTCTACATCAGTGGTCGGCAACCTTTTTTAATTCTCGGGCCACATTTACAAATTAAAAAGAATTCGCGGGCCAGATAAAAAAAAAAAATTTATAATTACATTATTTATTATGCAAAAAAATACTATCTAAAACTTAAAATAATAATATGACTTATATAAAATACCCGTACCAAAAACGCAACGTTCAATTATATTTATACAAAATGATATTCAATTAAATTAATCGATTTAGAATTTAAAGCGGGCCGTATTCAATAGCCACGCGGGCCGGATACGGCCCGCGGGCCGCCGGTTGCCGACCACTGCTCTACATAATACTGGGTATGGGAATTTTTTTAATTTTTCTTGCTGCTATTGTTTACAGTTGATCTATAATTTATTATTATTTTTATTTTTTATATAGTCCATGAAATTGCATAGTTGTTTTCTCCATTGAGAGGGGTTCATAACTAGAAAGCAAGGTTAGGTTATTATAATAAAAAATAAACAGTATATTTTGAATATTAGTTTCATATTTCTTTTGTTATAATAAAATTTTGTTATGGCTTTTTTATTACGCAAAAATATTTAGAGAATATAAATGCACATTATTGAACTTTTAAAGCATGTATCTAAACTTTGTAAATTACCAATTTTAAGTTTTTACTTAATCCAGAAATTTACAATCCCTGTTCATTAACTTTCGGTACCTAATTCAAAAACACCCAAAAGATAGTTGGAAAATATTAGTCTCTGATAATAATCTGGGACTATATTTCTTATAAGAAAATAATATATTATATTTTATTTCTAAAATAAAGTTGTTCATCACCTAGCCGAGGAAAGTTTAAACACTTTAAAATAATAGTATAATAATAATATTATTTTTTATGTACAATAGTACACAAAAAAAGCATAAGGGAAGTGTAACATTCCAGGTGGAAAATTTAAAGCAGTGCAAAGTTTAAGAAATTATAAAAATATTTAAATTATATAAAAACTGTAGCACAGTGGGGTCGAGACACAGTGTGGACGAGGCATAGATAGGACAAGTATAGATGATATCTGACAGTGATCTATCATAAGAAACGCTTCGATGATAGTGTTTTATTTAGAGAAATTAGAGTGATTATTCCAAAAGCAACATCAACTCTTATTTCTTTAATTATATCCTGATTAGTAGTCCTTTGTTTTTAAAATATAATATATGAATAAATACTAATTATAGTTTTTAAATTTAGTATGAAATTGTGAGGCCAGCTATGATGTATGGTTCATAGTGTTGGGCGGTTGATAAGAAAGTAGAGCAGAGAATACGTGTAGCAGAGATGAGAATGCTTAGTTGGATGAGTGGAGTGAATAGAAAAGATAGGATAAGGAACGAGTATATAAGAGGAAGTATAGGTGTTGCGTCAATCGTGGTTAAGATGACAGAAAATAGACTTAGATTGTTTAGTCATGTTATGAGGAGAGAAGAATCGGAAACTGTAAGAACAGTTATAGAAATGAATTTTGTATGAAGAAGAGATAGAAAGAACCAAAAAAGAGATGGAGGGAAGCTATTGAATGCGATTTGAGGACAGCTGATGTGAGCGTAGAAGATGTGGTTCCGGTGGCAATTGACATAATATGATTGTTGTTTCGGAATGTACAATTTAGCGTTTAGTTTGGTTTAACCAATATAGCGTCAAATCAATTACCTACTCTATCGCTTGTATATTAATATACACTACACTTTAATGATACAATAAATAAATAAACTCACACATACACACATATGCATTTATAACATTGTGTCTAATATAAGTTAACATGATAAAAAGTAACCGTAAAATGAAAAAAAAGTAATATAAATTTTAGTACTCCTATTAAATGTAATGTAACTCGAAAAATATTTGTTTAAATGAGAAAATATAAGATAATTTTTTTGTTTATAATTGTCTTTTAAACAACTTTTGTACGAAACTTTTTTTTGTAAGTTAAATATTTTTTGAGAAAATTAAAAAAGCTCATATTTTTGAACTTTTTCGAGGCTGTAAAAAAAAAGCTCAATTCCAATCTTGAGGACTATTAGTATGTCATTATACATATTTTAATTCAACTTTTAAAAAANTGAGGACTATTAGTATGTCATTATACATATTTTAATTCAACTTTAAAAAAAAGGAAATTTTTTCCGCAATTTTTCCTTTGTTGACTGGCCTAGATGTCAATTTTAAACTTGTAATTGAGCTAAAAGTTATGGTAATATAATCAATTTTTTTACTATAAACTTTCATAAATCTTTATCAAAAATTTTTCATCAACTTTGAAGAACCAAAAAAATAGGTTAAAAATGAAAATTTGGACTGATTATTTTTAACATATTAAAAATCAAATCAGTAATAATTTGAAAACAAATTTTTTTTTNTAAAAATCAAATTATTACTGATTTGATTTTTAATTTGTTAAAAATATGCAGTCAGGAAATTTTATAATTACTATTTATAGTAAATTTATCAGAGTAACTCAATATTTTTTTGCATTTTTATCGTAATAGATAACTTAAATAGAAATAATAGTAATCATTTCATAGTATCTTTTGGTGTTTAAGAAGATACTACAATTAAAATATGAACTGAATTAATTTTAATGTTTTACTTTAACTAAAATAACCAATATATAGATACGAATTGTAGTAATTTGACGTATTGTTGAAAAAAGTAGGTCAAGTTAGAGCAGAGAAAATAAATGATAGTCACAAAAAAATATCTTCTCAGCTTTGCATCGAAGCGAAAACTTAAAATATAGTAAAATAATTTTAATACGAATAAGAAATTTCTTCTTGCAAGGGGCGACTAAAGTGATGGGATCCTTGATCTTTATTGAAGTTATTGAATCTAAATGTGATAAAATTAAAACGAGTTAAAAATTTATACTAACTTAAAAAGAATTAAGAAAAAATGCAAAAAATTCATTGCTATACGTGGGTTGGAACCTCGTACCCCAAGCGTGTAAAATATAAATTCTACCGTACGTCGCTACCGTCCTGTGAAAAAATAGGCTATTTAAGCTAGTTCAAATTTCAAAGTTATTTTTCTCGACTTAAAAGAAGCAAACAAATTTAAATAAGTTTAACTTTCTATGCTATATTAATTTTTTATTTATATAATATTTATGAAAATCTGTACTCCCCTTGTCAGGTATTTTAAAATAAAATAAAATACAAAACCCAGAATTTTAACACAAAAATAGCA